GACCGTTCACCTTGGTCGGTCTGAGCAACGCTTTGACACTCGCTTGAGCAACGCTCCAGCTGACCAAACCTCTCACCCCCTGCCTTTCAACATGCCGTTCTCGGAACTTGCCATGCCGCTGTGAAACCCGACCACACCGGATCGTCTACGTTGCTTTTCGATGCATGCCCCTTCCAAACAAGCCGGGTTGACAGTTGACCTCGTTTGGTAAATCGGAGCAACACCCTAACTCTCGCCTGAGCCACGCTCTAGCTTGAAAACATGCCGGGTTGACTGCTAGCCTGCTCTGTTCGATCGCAGCATCGCTCAGACACCGTTTGGGCAACGCTCTCGCTGACTAAACCTCCGGGATCCTCAGGTCCAGGTGGGACTAAAGCTGCAGCTTCTACTGCACAAAATCTTGGGTTTCAGATTGACATTATACTAAGCTTCTAGTCCGGGGCTTCTAATGGGAATATGCTGGGACCCATATTGGTCTAACACTGGGCTCGTGCAGCAACGCCCGGACGCGCGCTCGAGCAACTTTGGCTCTCGCCTGAGCTACGCTCTAGCTGATCAAGGCTTCAAAGTAGCTACTCCGGACACAGACTTCTTCCCGTGCTGGCTAGGCAATACATATCAACGACACATGCCGCTCCAACCCCCTGCCTTTCAACATGCCGTTCTCGGAACGTGTCATGCCGCTGTGAAACCCGACCACACCGGATCGTCTACGTTGCTTCTCGATGCATGCCCCTTCCAAACAAGCCGGGTTGACAGTTGACCTCGTTTGGTAAATCGGAGCAACACCCTACTTGGTAGCCGCTGTTCGGATGGAAAGGATAGAAATGACTTATAGCATCTTACAGCGTATGTATATCTGTGTGTAACTAGGCTTTAAACGTTTATATGTTCAGTAAGTTTTTTAACTTTCAGTATAAAGTTATCATATATACAAGTAATTATATGTGATTTAGCATACTTAATTTACTAATTATGTATTTTATATGTTTTCTAACTTTTTTGGCGTTAGTTGAAAATTACCATGTATTAAACTTGGAAATAACTTATAAAACTTATCTTTTTTGATGTTTGAAAACATCACTTTTTGTTTCACATCTTTTTTTGTGATTTGCGATGGTGATTTTGGAAAAGTTTGGAATGTTATCAATGTCCTTGATGAGCGCCAAAGGACGACCATATAGATGCAAATTGTTTTGTCTCCGAAGAAGTCAAAGAAGAAGAACAAAAAGGACAAGAAGAAGGGACACCATTGAAAAGCACTACCTCTGTGCAATTGAAAGTTTTGACCATTCAGATGCAGCCGAGAAAATGATGCAGCATCTAAATTATTAATGCTTTGCCTTGATTTCATACTGGCCATGACGGCGGCCCACTGGGCAGCGCGTAAAAAAAACTTATATACATCATTTATACATCATTTATACATCATTTATACATTATTTATACATTATTTATACATTATTTATACATTATTTATACATTATTTATACATTATTTATACACTATTTATACATTATTTATACATTATTTATACATTATTTATACATTATTTATACATTATTTATACATTATCTATACATTATTTATACATTATTTATACATTATTTATACATTATTTTATTATCTTACATATTATATTGATTATAAGAATTATGACTAATGATGGCAGTGGTATTCTATCTCTTCTTCTGCCTCTCTCAAATTCTCATTCTAATCTGTGAAAATCCAAGCCGACTCTACAGAGCAACCTCTGCGAGGGGTTCTGAAGAACGACAGCACTTAGAGAGTTAACTTGGGCCGATTAATGCTACACTACTCTCTGAGGTGAGAGGAGGAGGAGGGCATGTGGGGACTGATATTTATCGATTCGGATGGTTCGAGCTGAGTAAACTAGTGAAGAGGTGCTTCTGGTGGGCTAGGTATTAGGAACTGTGGATGAATACTGTGAAGATTGTCTCTTCGAATCAAGTAACTGTTATTGGGGACGTGTGGGGTATGGGGTATATGAATTTTCGAAGGACTTGGAGGGAAGTAGGACGCCTGAGTAGAACGTAAAGAGTGGTAATGATTGTGGAATGGTCGGGTTATTTATACATTATTTATACATTATCTATACATTATTTATACATTATTTATACATTATTTATACATTATTTATACATTATCTTGAACACTTTCCCGACAGGACCAAAATTCAAAATGCAGCGGAGCAATGGTTCGCTTGAGTTCAACATTCCTTGAATATCTTCAACATGTTCCAAGCAATGCAAAGTATCTGAATTCAGCGGATCAATGGTTCGCTTTAGTTCAACAGTTTTTGAATGTCTTCTGCACGTTCCAAACAGTGCCAGGCATCTATTTTCAGCGGATCAATGGTTCGCTTTAGTTCAGATTGTTTAACAAAGAAATCCAATACTTGACAGTGAAGAAAAAACATATTTGCGATTTATTGACATCAAACTTCTTTTCGTTCTTGCATGACCAGTCCGCGCTGCCTTGAAACCATGGATACCGTTGTGGTTGAAGACACCCAGGTGATGGAAATGCCATCGGCGGCCCAATGGGCAGCGGTGCTATACATGAAATCCGTTCTTTTTGTTCCAGCGTGCCAACCAAAACTTTTTTACCTTCCTGCGGCCCATTGGGCAGCGGCAAGCACATTTTCCATACATTTCCACATAGTCGAAAAAAATCTTGAAACACTCATTTCCACAAACCATGCTAATTTTCAACGTCAGATAAGTCAAAAAAAACTTGAAAAACTTATAAGTTACTTATATCAGTTTATAAGAAAAAAGCAAGCAATCAAAAAAAAGCCAAAAACTAAGTTTTATAAGTTAACTTACAAGTAATGTATCTAAATTTTATCTGCCAGATGTTTGGTAAGTAAACTATATCTTTTCCATCTAAACAGCGGCTACCAAGTAACTCTCGCCTGAGCCACGCTCTGGCTTGAAAACATGCCGGGTTGACCGCTAGCCTGCTCTGTTCGATCGCAGCATCGCTCGGACACCGTTTGGGCAACGCTCTCGCTGACTACACCTCCGGGATCCTGAGGTCGAGGTGGGACTAAAGCTGCAGCTTCTACTGCACAAAATCTTGGGTTTCAGATTGACATTATACTACGCTTCTGGTCCTGGGCTTCTAATGGGAATATGCTGGGACCCATATTGGTCTAACACTGGGCTCGTGCAGCAACGCCCGGACGCGCGCTCGAGCAACTTTGACTCTCGCCTGAGCTACGCTCTAGATGATCAAGGCTTCAAACTCGCTACTCCAGACACAGACTTCTTCCCGTGCTGGCTAGGCAATACATATCAACGAAACATGCCGCTCCAACCAGGCCGGGTTGACCGTTCACCTTGGTCGGTCTGAGCAACGCTCTGACACTCGCTTGAGCAACGCTCCAGCTGACCAAAACTCTCACCCCCTGCCTTTCAACATGCCGTTCTCGGAACTTGCCATGCCGCTGTGAAACCCGACCACACCGGATCGTCTACGTTGCTTTTCGATGCATGCCCCTTCCAGGCTAATTCCACAGAGGCTACGGTCGCTGTACGCATGCCTTTTCTCGTGAGAGGCACCGTACCGAGATTCTAATGGACCAAATCTTCGGCTGACTAGGGCGACTCGATTAGGATTATGCTGGCACTAAGCTGGGACAAATATTGGGTTTCAGTAGGCGGCTGGTGCCGAGACTCTGATTATAATGCATCATCACGCGAGATTCTGAGGGGACTATGCTGCAACAAAGCTGGGTTGACCGCTTGCCTTCTCTGGTCGAGCTGAGCAACGCTCTGACACGCCCTTGAGCCGCGCACCAACACACACCGACAACATGCACAGCCACATCATCCGCCACAACGACAACAACTAGTCTTGGTCCCTGCAACAACCACGACATCTACGGTTGCCGCCGCAGCCCCTCTGCTGGGGCCCCGGGCCCTCGCGCTTGCTTGCACAGCGGTACCTGCCAACGGCCACGCACATGGGTTCTACACACGTTACTTGCAGACTTTCTCAAACGAGTCTCGTCCCATGCATCTCTTCTACGCTTTCTGGTTCCGACCTGTCCTCTGCTAGCTGCACCTGGATTCCACACAACTTGGTCTGCCTTGTTTACGCATAAGGCCAACGTTTTGCTCTTTGGCACCCAGCAAGCCGACACTGCGCCTGGTGTGCAGCTGCCGCGTTGTCCGGCGCCCGACCTCCGTCCGTCTGAGCAACGCTCTGACCTTCGCGCAGGCAACGCCCGTGCTGACGGCGCTAGCGATGTGTCGGCGCGCGACGGCTCTTATTGGAAGGCTTTGCCGATGCTTTGCGGCGAGCCGATCTAGCGTCACAACCCGCCCGGTACTGCATCTCCTCAGTGAATGGGTCCAGCGAATACTTCAGTTTCTGCTGGTCGGCCGTTTCCAACAAGCGATTCCGGAGGTGCTCGCTTGCCCACAGGCCATTCATGTGCACGGCCACCCCACGCCACACGGCTTTTGTCTGGGCAGGCGTGGCGTCGACGGCGCGCAACTCTTCTTGCAAGCCACCCAGCATGAACTTCAGCACCGCCGTTGCATACGCCGTCATGGTGAGGCTTTGGCTTGCCCCGTCTGCGCTTCGCACTCTGCAGTCGCCCGGCGCGTGCAATTGGGTCCGGACTTGCTCCTCGCCGGTGAAGGTCGCCCAGTCACTGCCGAAGTCATTGGTTCGGGTGCGCACGGCTGCCAACCGCGACGGCACCTCTGCCACATTGCCGAGTTCGGCCCGGAAACGCGCCAGGTCGTCGCCGGCAGCCGCCGCCGCCACTGCGGCCACTTGTCGGCAGAACGCCACTTCTTTGCCTGGCAGAGCGAGCACTTAGAACGAGCCAGCCTAAGATCTATTCAAGCAACATGTCTCCGACCCGAATATGTCGTCCTATCGTGTCGAAGCCTATGACGCTTGCCTGAGCAACGCTCTGGCTGCCTAGCGCCTCCGCTGCTTAGCGGCATGCACACCATTTCCTACAACTCCCGGATCCTGCCTCCATCCTGCAGGAATGCCGTTGTCAGCAACTCGGCTGCCGTCGGCCGCGGGAGCGCCGCGCGCGCGGCAGTCAGACGCGCCGCTGCATCTCCCCGGGCCCAAGCCGGCGGCGCGCCTGCCCACACGCCCGCCACCTCGTCCGCCACGGCCGCCGCCTCGACCCCCACCGCCGGCGTTGCTTCCGTTCGACGGCCCAGTCCACCTGCGGCATGGTTCACGAAGTGCTCCCGCACTTGGTCAGCTCCTTGGAAGCAATAGGTGCGTCGCCGGGTCGTTTTGCAATACCGACAGCTCAGCCACCCTTCTGGGCGCCGCTTGGAGAGGCACAACCCCAAGCCAACGAAAGTGCGCACTTCCGCTTCGGTCAACGCCTCGTAGTACGTGGTTCTGGCGATGCCCAAAATCTCGGTCAGGCCTTCTTCCGTCAAGTCCTCTTCCAGTTGCTCTTCCAACGCCTGGCTACATGAATGCTGCTGGCTGACTCGGTGTGTGCCTACGCCGGCCCTGCCTGGTCTTCGGCTGCCGTGGCTTCCGCCGTGTCCATGGGCTCTGCCGTCGACGCTGCCTACCACGCAGCTGCATGCCGGGTCCCCGCTCCACCGCCCGGCTTTTCTCTGTTCTACCTTCCTCTAAAAGATTTTGCTTTGCATTCAAGGGTCCAAAAAGACCCAAGGGTCCAAACTGGGTCCAGCTGATGAATCTCGCGCAAGCCTCGCTCATGTCCTTTTTCTCGCTCACACCCAAAATCATCCAAGTAAGGATTTGTCAGGACAAACAAATCAGTGACAAAAGGTCTGCTCAATTATGGGGCATGTTACAATTTGAATTCTCCTTTTTGATCTGTCCTGATCACATTTGCCTGCTTAAATGTATGCAAAATGCAAAATTCGTGGCATCGTCATGTTGCTACTCGAGCTTGGATGCTTTCTGCATCACTGGCCGGGCTGCTCAGCTTCAGCTCGGACACGCTCGGATGTTTTTGCTCCGTGCCCTGGACCTGGACCTGGACGGCCTGTCACGGAGAAACCGCCCGGCTTGCGACAACGGGGAGGGCACGGAGCTGGGGAGCCATGGCTGGCCAGGGGTAACACAACGGGAGAAGAAGAACGGGAAAATGATGCAAAATGAGAAATGTCACTTTTATAGTTTGTAAATTAGAAAAAATTGCTTTTGTAACATATTGAAATTGTAAAACTATGCATATTTGCTGAATACTTTGATATTTTTTGAAAAGTAATTTCTATCCATATTTTTTGTCCACAACCAATCTTAAAACATTCACTGGTTCATTTTCAAGGTATTGGAATGAAATTGAAAAGTTTTTTTTCCAAAATATGTTTTGTCAAAATATGTTCAAAAAACTAATTTCTATCCTTAAATTATGTCCAAAATCAGGTTTAAAACATTCAGTGGATCATGCTCAAGGTATTGGAATGAAATTTAAAATATGTTTTTTTCGATTTTTTTTGGTCGAAATTTGGTTCAAAAATGACATTTCTATCAAAAATATGTCGTGTCTAACCTTAAACCCTACATCCGTTAATAATCATAATGCACAATATGCACATAAGCACGCTATTTCCACACAACGGGGTGTTACAACGGGGGAGACACAACGGGAGAAGAACAACGGGGAAAATGATGCAAACTGCGAAATGTCCTTTTGCGAAAAAGCGCCATGCCCAAAAATATGTTTTGCGAAAATCTGGTTTCCCCGAGGATGTATTTGCGAAAATCCTGGATATCCAGGACCGTGGTTTGCGAAAGATCAGGGTCAGATCTTTCTCAAAAGATTTGCAATTGTTAAATTATTTGTTGCTACATGTGCGCATATATTGATAAATGAGGAAAACAACATTTTTTTCGCGAAATGTGGGATTTGAATTTCACTCTCTGAATAGTTTTTTTTTCATGAACAGTTTGCGAAAAAACAACATGTCCAGGATTCTTTTTTGCGAAAATCCTGCTTCCCCAAGAATGTGTTTGCGAAAATCTTGGGGAATCAGGACCTTGGTATGCGAAAGATCTGGGTCAGGTCTTTCTCAAAAGATGTTCCATGTTTGTATGTCATATTAAAATATATACATAATGTATGTATATGTGATGCCGCTATATTATATATGATGACAGGAAATTACCTTCTTTTTGCGAAAAACTTGTTGTCTCAAAAATGCTGGCCACAAGTCGCTCAGATTGATCGCAAAACGGCAGCTGGATAACATCTATGTTGAACCCCTTGTTTGCGAAGAACCAGGGCCTGGTTCTTCTCAAACAACTGCTTGTTCCCTAGCACTGCTTTGCGCAAGCCTCTGGTTTGCTTAAAACACCCCAGGTATCAGCAGCCTGTTTGAGAAGAACCAGGCCCTGGTTCTTCGCAAACAAGGGGTTCAACATAGATGTTATCCAGCTGCCATTTTGCGATTAATCTGACTGACTTGTGGCCGGCATGCTTGAGAAAACCTACTTTTCGCAAAAAAAAGTTGTTTTCCTCATTTATCAATATATGCGCACATGTAGCAACAAATAATTTAACAATTGCAAATCTTTTGAGAAAGATCTGACCCTGATCTTTCGCAAACCACGGTCCTGGATATCCAGGATTTTCGCAAACACATCCTTGGGGAAACCAGGTTTTCGCAAAACATATTTTTGGGCATGGCGGTTTTTCGCAAAACATGGGTAAAAAAATCTTTTGAGAAAGATCTGACCCTGATCTTTCGCAAACCACGGTCCTGGATATCCAGGATTTTCGCAAACACGTCCTTGGGGAAACCAGATTTTCGCAAAACATATTTTTGGGCATGGCGGTTTTTCGCAAAACATGGGTAAAAACATCTTTTGAGAAAGATCTGACCCTGATCTTTCGCAAACCGCGGTCCTGGATATCCAGGATTTTCGCAAACACATCCTTGGGGAAACCAGATTTTCGCAAAACATATTTTTGGGCATGGCGGTTTTTCGCAAAAGGACATTTCGCAGTTTGCATCATTTTCCCCGTTATTCTTCTCCCGTTGTGTCTCCTGCGTTGTAACACCCCGTTGTGTGGAAATAGCGTGCTTATGTGCATATTGTGCATTATGATTATTAACGGATATAGGGTTTAAGGTTAGACACAACATATTTTTAATAAAAATGTGATTTTTGAACCAAATTTCGACCAAAAAATCGAAAAAAAAATATTTAAAATTTCATTCCAATACCTTGAGTATGATCCACTGAATGTTTTAAACCTGATTTTGAATATAATTTAAGGATAAAAATTAATTTTTTAAATATATTTTGACAAAAAAATATTTTGAAAAAAAAAAAACTTTTAAATTTCATTCCAATACCTTGAAAATGAACCAGTGAATATTTTAAGATTGGTTGTGGACAAAAAATATGGATAGAAATTACTTTTCAAAAAATATCAAAGTATTCAGTAAATATGTATATTTTTATAATTTCAAAAAATTACAAAAGTAATTTTTTCTAGTTTACAAATTATAAAAGTAACATTTCTCATTTTACATCACTTTCCCGTTCTTCTTTTCCCGTTGTGTTACCCCTGGCCAGCCATGGCTCCCCAGCTCCGTGCCCTCCCCGTTGTCGCAAGCCGGGCGGTTTCTCCGTGACAGGCCGTCCAGGTCCAGGGCACGGAGCAAAAACATCCGAGCGTGTCCGAGCTGAAGCTGAGCAGCCCGGCCAGTGATGCAGAAAGCATCCAAGCTCGAGTAGCAACATGACGATGCCACGAATTTTGCATTTTGCATACATTTAAGCAGGCAAATGTGATCAGGACAGATCAAAAAGGAGAATTCAAATTGTAACATGCCCCATAATTGAGCAGACCTTTTGTCACTGATTTGTTTGTCCTGACAAATCCTTACTTGGATGATTTTGGGTGTGAGCGAGAAAAAGGACATGAGCGAGGCTTGCGCGAGATTCATCAGCTGGACCCAGTTTGGACCCTTGGGTCTTTTTGGACCCTTGAATACAAAGCAAAATCTTTTCTAGCTCGTCTGTTGCATGACGTCCTTCCCCAACAACTCTGATCCCTCCAACATCCGCATGTAACCACAACTTTTCACCACTACTTCAGCTGGGTTGCCTTGATTTCCTCCCCCCCTGCCTCGGCTGCCGCGGCCTCCTGCCCCGCCTCCGTCGCCGCGTTCGCAAACGCCTGCTTCGCGTCGGCCACTGCCAGGACAACTTCCTTGAAACCGTGCTGCCAATGCCATGCTCGCGTTGCAGCGTACACTTCTCTTCCACCCGCCAGATGCATGAAATGGCCGTCGACCGGCATGCTGACGTGACAGCTGTCCGTCCACAGCTGCCCCTTTGGGCCGGTATAGCCCTTCTGGAGCACTTCTTCAAAGAGATAGATCGGACCCCAACGCTCCGAGAAGTTCCACCCTGGTTGTATGCCCTGCTGCAAGGATTGCGCGAGAGCCTCCCACAACTGCTCGCAAAACAAAAGGTATCGGCTTCGTAGCGAGGCCTGGCTCGTTGTAAGCACCTTTTGCACTGCATGTGTCAAGAGCGGATGCGACTTGCTTGCGTGCCAGATGTTGCCCTGGTAGATGTGCCGCTTGTTTGCCCCGATGCTCATCACCAAGTACGGCGTCGTTGCCAAACTGAGCGGCGCAGCCTGCACGGACGGCTGAGCAACGCTCTGACTTCCGGCGGCCGCGGGCGGTCCGAGCGGCTGAGCAACGCTCTGCCGTGCCAATTGGCAAGTCTGAGCAACGCTCCGACCCTCGGCCGTCTGATCGCCCGCCGCGAGAATTGCTTGCAATGTCTCTGCCCACGGCCGCGCCAAAGCCATCTTGATGTCCAAGTAGTTCCCTCCGTTTTGACGGAGTCTGATGTACCTCCACATATCACAGCGGTGGCTCCCTCGTTGATAGCTCTCGTACTTTTCTTTCAGCCACGCGCCGCCCAAAGCGACCACATCGGCCACGCACTGCTCATCGTCCACGTAGATGCGTCGGAGCCGGCCGATGTGGCGCTCGCACATCTCGCGGGCTGGTGCATGGTCTTGCTTGTACGTCTGATACAGGACGGCCGGCGGCTCTTCCAACCAAGGTGCCACCTGCACAAAAGGCGGCTTGTCCAAGACCTGGCGCGCGGGGGATCGACCCACACCGTCTCCGTACCCGAGACCATATGACGGTTACTTGCCCCCTAGTCCTTCCCAACCCTCCCTTTCGTCGGCCTGTGTCAACGCCTCCCGCACGAACTCTCGCCACGTCCAGCGGCAACGTCGCCCCATCACAGTTCCAGCCGCAGCATAGGACTACATCCAGCGTATCGCGAGGCCGCACCGGGAACGCATGCACGGCCGCAGCCACCGCCTCCTCCATGCCCTCGGCCGCCACTGAAGGTTGGAAATGCAAGGTCTGGCTTTGCCCACCGTACCGCGCTCCGGCACTGTCCATGATCGACGGGCCCGCTTATGGGACGCTCCATTCTTTCCGTGCTTGCACCAGGCTACCGTACCTACGACCTGGGACGGACCGCTCGGCAGGGACTGCCCGGCAGCACACCGGCCGATCGCCGTTGATGTCGCCAAAGAAGCCCTCCATCAAAGCTGCTTTCAGCAGCCACAAGATGCTCACCTTGGCTTGGCCGTCCTTCACCAAACTTCCGCCACACGAAATGCAAGCCACCGTGCCATTGCGGCGATCTGCCAGTCCCGCACCCCTTGCTGCTTGGTTGCCGGCTTCAAGCCAGCCAAAGCCGGTGCTATCCACCAGCACCAAGCGGGATAGCGCCATGAGTCTCGCGCGGCCGCTTGTGGGTTTGCCTCGCGCTGCAACGCTGCGCACCGCTCTGGCCGTGCTTGAGCCAAACTCTGGCGGGTCCATGTTCATCATCAACTCCTTTGAGCCGTTTGGTCTCTGACACTTGCTGTTCGTCCCTCCCCGTTCACTCCGCAAGCCGTTCCTCGTTTGCTTTCTCGTCGCATTGTGTTTGTCCGTCCTCTTCTTGCCCGATGCCCTTCCAAACACGCCGGCCTTGCTCACCGCCCTTTTGTGATTGGCCTCAACTGCACGTAGCAAACACTTCACAAGCAAAGGCACTGCTTCAGGCAGTGTCTTGGGCGCTTCACTGTACGCATGCCGTTCCCCCGCTGCCGCGCCCCTTTTTCAATTTTGCGCAACAACTCACCGGCAAACCCCCGCCACGCACGCGCGGTCGGCGGGCCCGCACGCGCCGAGCGGCTGAGCAACGCTCTGCCATGCCATGGGCACATCTGAGCAACGCTCTGACTCTCGGCCGGGCGGCCTACGCGCCTGTCCCGGTCGCCGCTGCCTTACTGTCCCGCTTCCTCTTCCGTCTCGTCCGACTGGTCCGCCGCGCTGTGCTCGGCGGGCTCGGCGCCGTTGCCGCGTCGCCCGGAGCCGACCGCTCCAACTGCCGCTGCCGCAGCAGCGCCTCGTCCGCCACGCGCTTGGCCGCGGCTGCTTCCTCTCGCGCTGCCCTGGCTGCCTCCAGCGCAGTTTGTGCCGCCAGCCAATTTCTCCACGACCAGCGCTCCAAGTATGCCACTGTACTCTGTAACTGGCTGACCTCTGCTTGCAGCATCGCCACCGCTGCGTCCGCCATGGCGCGGCCTGCGATCCGTGACTTCACCCACAGGCTCCGGCTAACACGTCCTCTTTCACACCTGCCTTGACCCTTCTTTGGCTGCGGTCCCTCATTGCGGACACGCTTTGCGGCACGATCTTGGAACCGGTTCCAACTGAGGTCCTGACCTTGCGCTCGCTTTCATAGCCTTCTCCGTCCGTCCATTTGCCCGCCTGCCGCTGCCGTCGGTGCAGCCCCGGTTTTTCGCGCCTTTTGTTCCCCGCGGCCTGGCCGCATTTGCCTACGCCGGCCATGCTTCTACTCTCTTCTCCCACCCCCGCGCCCGTTTGCGCTCACCGTTTCTTTTCCCTCTGCCGCTACCACGGCTGCCTTCCGTCCTTCATATTACGGCTGTCTCACGGCCAAGTCGCTGCTGTGGCCCACGCTACTGCCGATAGCAATGCCTGCGCCGGGCGGCTGAGCAACGCTCTGCCGTGCCTTGCGGCAAGTCTGAGCAACGCTCTGACCCCCAGCCGTCAGCTTGCTTCTTTGCCAGCGCGGCCCGCCGAAACAATCGGCCGCTGAGAGTTCCATAAACCCTGCCCGCCTTACTTCTCATTGCCTCTGCTCTTACCGGCTGCCGTCCTCCTCTTCTTCATTCTCTGCCGGTGACACTGCCGGCGAACTGACGCCGTCTGCCGGCCCACTGTCACTCGCATCGCCCGTCGGGTGCCCAATGCGGAGCTGCCGACATGGTCGCCCCGGGCGGGGATCAGGGCCACAAATGAGGACGAAGCCGCTTTCATACAGCCACAGGCGGCCTCCTTCTTCTTGCCGATTGGGTAATGGCGCCTTCGTTTCTGCGAAGAACAAAATCACTTGCATTCCATCTGCCAAGCCGTCTTCCTCTGCCACGGCTCCGTGCAACATGGTCGGAATTTTCCAGCCATCCTCCGTGCAAAGCTCGAGGCTGCGCATGCCGATGTCGTCCTGACTGAACACTAACTCCTTCATATTGCCTATGGTCCCGCGGACACATGTCGTCACCCCGGGCTCGCGCAACGCGCGGCTGTCTTGCAGCAGCGCCTGCGGCGGTGGGCGGATCGCACAGATTCCGCTGCCCCCGCTCGGCAGCACTTTGCTGCGCCCCGTTGATTGCAAACGCTTCAGCGCTGGCACCGTCTTGTTGCGATAGGCCGCCACCTGCAACCCAGCCAAGGCGACGCCCGGGAAGTGCCCGTCGGGCGCTTCTTGCAGCCACCGGCGTGCTGCCGGATGCACCTGCTCGGCTTTCTCGGCCCACACCGTCACTTGCACCATGCCCGACGAGTCGGCCACCAGCAAATTGCAAACCGACTTCGCTTCTGTCCTGCCTCGATTCTGCACTTCCGCCCGGTGGGTGCTCTCATCCACCAGCAGCAGATAGCCCACGACGCTCACCTCGTCTCGCACCTGCCGCCCATGCACTTCGGCCACGGACCGCAACTCGGCTGCGGCCGGTCGGCGGGCATCGCTTCGCCGCCGCCGCTTCGGTGTGTTCGCCATGGCGGGCTCCGCGGCCATGCTTGGCCTCCGGTCTGCTGTCCCGAGTCTCTACAGGCAGAACCCTTCCGTCCTCCGTCTGCGCCACGCTCTGACGCTCACTTGAGCAACGCTCGGGTGTCCAACATGTTCGACTTTTCGCCCATGCTTGGTGCAGCTACCTGCAAAGAAACTAATGCTATATATCTCAACAGGCACGGACAATCACCTTCTTGGACCATTACTTCGACTATAAATCCTGCTATTTTCCATTGCAATCTTCAATTCCCACGGGGAAGAGACTCAACTTGCGGGTAACTCTGACCGGTTCGTTGCACATACAAGACCCCTCCGTCGCTACATCTGGACCTCTGCCCTGTGCATCCAAACACCCCAGGTAGACGGCTGCGCATGGCTCCAGCCCTCGCCAGAGCAACACTCTAGCTAACCGACACGTCCAGTCCGTGCCTCGAAACCTTCCTTGCCCAGCCAGACCGGCTCCTTCCCGATGCCGTTTCGTTTCCCCCTTGCCTCCGCCGGCCACCTCCTGCGCGCCGCGTTCGGGCGCCGTCAGCATCACCTGGCGGCCGGTTGCCCGCCCCTCGCACGCTCCACTCCGTGCTATCGCACTGCCCGCCAACCCTCTCCGCCCGCGTCTGCTCCTTCGTCCGCCCCTTTTTCCGCGCTTCGTTTGGTCTCCTTTCGACCCGGCCGGCGTTCGTTGCAGTCGGCCTGAGCAACGCTCCGGCACAGCACCTGGGCAACGCCCTGGCGGACCGCATGGCTGCCTTTTTCCGCCCGTCCGCCCGAGCGGGGCATCGCCGCGCCGCATCGGCAGCGCCGTCGGTGACCGCGGCCGGCTCCTCACCGCCCATGCTCCGGGCACCGACATCGTGCCCACCGCTGTCGGCCGCTCGCGGGGGTGCTCCACTTGTGTTTCCGCGCCCATCCAACTGGCGTGTCGCCGTTGCCCGCCTGGGTGATGGCGACCCGGCCACACCAACCGCACTTCAGCACGTAAAACCACTGGCTCCTAGCATCCCCCACTTCGTAGCTTCGCGTCTCTGCCAAGCCCCGCGGCAAGATGCCGGCATAGTACGGCGCCCCGCCGCTGACCGCCACTTCCGTCACTTTGGCGATGGCCGGATCCGTTGGTCCGTCTCTGGCCTCCAACTTCTTCTCGGGCAGCGCCGCTAGTCTCAGTTGGAGCGCCTGCCGTTGGTGCACGGGTAGCAGGAGCGCGGTTGCTACGAGGGACCGGGTCTCCGGGTCCAACCGCCCCAAGGCCGTGCCTACGTCCCATACCTCTTCGTCTGTGAGTGTCCTTGCCGCGTCGGTCAACGCCAGCGCCCCGCCCGCTGCCGTCGCCTCTGCCATTGCACCGCGGTCCGGCGCGTGCTCTAACACTCGCCTTGAGCAACGCTCTAGCTGACGTAAGTTGCTATCCTCCCGACCACCCGTTTCAAGTCGAGTCGCAGCCACGTCCGTCCCACTACCCTGCTGTCAAACGCCCTTGGCGCAAAACATGCCCGCTCGACGGCTGCCTCCACGCTGCATGCGGTTCGCCACCTGGCGCCACACTGCTCTCACGCAAGTCATGCAAGCAACGCTCTAGCTCTTCTCGACCCAAGCCCCTTCCAAACCAGCTAGCTTGACTGTTACCCTACTTTGAGCCGGGTTGACCCTTCGCCTTGGTCGGTCTGAGCAACGCTCTGACACTCGCTTGAGCAACGCTCCAGCTGACCAAAGCTACCGCCCCCTGCCCTTACACATGACGTTCTCCACCCTTGCCATGCCGTTGTGAAACCATGCCACATCGGATCGCCGACGTTGCTTCTCTAAACATGCCCTTCCAAACTAGCCGGGTTGACACTTGGCCTTCTGCTGTGCCACCCTGCCACACTGGATCGGTACCTGGCAAACAGGCCGTAGCAAGCAACTGTGTGCATGTGGCTTCCATCGCATGCCCCACCCACGGATGTCATTTTGTCCTTCAATATGTCAGTGATAGTCTATGTCACAACCTGCCTAGCAGGGTCCGGCGACACGGACTGCGGCGTTTCTTATGCTCTTGCCCTCTCATGACGACTGCCTAAATAACCCCCTTGCTACCGACGCGCACGCCTTTTTTCTCTTCCGCAGGGTGCTTCTTGCACGCGTTCAGTTTGAGTTTCTTTCCTA